TAGATCTGAATCTTGGGGAAGGGAAAAATGGGACACTACTGATAATGAATTTATGGCAGAGGTGTGCTATTATAAACGCTTTTCTTATCCGCACTTTATTGTTTATTGGTTGCACGGATCCATTTTCATCGCACTTAGAAGTCAATTATCTCAATTTGTTACATAAATCACTATATATTTTCAATTATAAGGTCATGCATGCGATTCAACATCATTACGGTGAAACGGCGATACGCTGCAAATTCCAAGAATACGTTCAGAGATTTGTACGACTGACTGCACTCTATGAGATTGAAACTTTTGGTTCAACGAAAGTTGGAATGATGCCCGGAAATACCGATCATGCGGGGGTCCTTGGTACGGGATTAGCTTTTCAAGACGAAAATTCAAAGTTAAGAGAAGTGGCAGCCAATGTTAATAGGATTGAGGGATGGAGGCAGACAATTTCGTACAAATATTATCAACTGGTAAGTAATTTAGTTGTTATTCATATTTATATGTAAGTTGTTTAATCCCTATATTATCAAATGTTAGGATTTTCAAAATTACTTGAAGACAAGAAGCATAAAAGCAATAGACGTATATCACCAGGTGGCAAAACTAAAATTCTTAAAAAACATGCCAGAAGAAGAAGTGGAAACTTTGTATAAAGCGTTCGTTACAAACATTGTTACCGACGAGCAGATCATTGAGGTAACATACAAGAAGTTTTACATGACCCTAAATCCACTTATAGAATTAACACGCATAATATTGACTTGCATCGTGCAATCACCATTCAGTTTTTGTCATATTTACCACAAAATCAAGGAGGTATATTTCCAATCGGTCTTGGTCTCTTCTATCCCCTGAAATCCGTTAGGAATTATACCATAGAATTATTTAACCGGATCAAGGAACATACAGTAAGCCTTCATTTCAAACAGAATTACCTAATATTGCTTGAAGCGTTAACCTTGGATTTTTCCTAAATCATTATGTTCTTAGACCGGAAACAAATTCATCCAAAGCCTAAACTATTTCCAGAAATTAGCCTACGAACGACAACTTTCTCAACAGTTCGAGAAAAGACAAAAACTAGAGTCAGCCAATAAATTGACTCAACAACAACCGGAAATATCGCCTGACTTTATTGATTATGAGGAAATGGTAACTGC